CAAGGGGGTCCTCACAGTATTTGTTTAAATATCAGAGTTTGGGATTAGGAGTTTTATCCACATAATCACTTCTCAGGAAGAGCGTCCTGTTCTCCACCAGCTCCAGTTCTGTGTGGCCGAGCCATGCTTTCCAGGACAACCGACGGCAAGTCGGTCTCCGTGATGTCCCTCAGCCGCTACCCGACCGAGGGCTCAGTCCGGTACGAGACCAGACTCTTCCCATCCGAAGTGTTAACAGACAGCCGATGAATAGTACTTAGGAATTTTTTAAAAAAGGAAGTGAGGTCTAACATTTTTATGTTTTGTTGGGATTTTATTGTTACTATAAAAAAGGGTGACTAAGGTATATAAAAAGGAAATCAATGGTTCAGATTTATTGTGCTGTATGTTCTCAACAGTTTAATAAAATAAAATCCAAAGCTCCTAGGTTTTCCTTCAGGGCTAATACCAGCACCGAGCATGTTCCCCCGCAGCCCAGCCCCATTCATAGGTCACACTCTGGTTCAGAGACTTGGGATGGGTAATGAGAATATAAAACATGACTTTTGCTTGCCAGCTACCACATGTTAATAATAATAGAGGCCGTAAATCACTGGAATTCGGGGTTTTTAGATTTTACTTAGTTTGTTTAAAGGAATAAAAAAAAAAAAAAAAAACTAGAGAAGAACAAGGCAGCATTGGGTAATGGAAAAAAGTACATACTTTTAGCAGAACTGAACAATTCCTTTAATTTGTGAGCACCTCTGTCCCTCAGTAGAACTTTGCTGTTTTAGTGGAGATGAAGCTCTGAGCACGGGGGTTGGGGGGGTGTTAGATTCATTTCAGGCAAGTTTCTCAACCTTGGCACTATTGAAATGTTGGGCTGGGCACGTCTTTGTTGTGGGGACTGTCCTGTGCATTGCAGGGTGTTCAGCAGCATCTTTGGTATCTGTTCACTACATGCCCAGCAGCACCTACTCACCCCCAGCCAGTTGCGAATCCCAAGTGTCTTCCATCTTTGCCAAATGTCCTCTGGGGGGAAATTGCCCTTTGTTGAGTTCTGCTGGCTTAAAGTAAAACAACACATTCAAAGATTTCCTTATTTACCCATTTTGTCTCATTCAATAGTGGCAGGGCTGTAATTTTTTTTTTTCTTTTGAGTTAGGAACAAGAAGTGATTTAGAGTTTTAAGTCACATTTGGCCACACCTTTTTCTGGCTTTCTGGGTGGATCACAATTCAGTTTTAACTCCCTGTTTCAGAGGCTTACACATGCCCTTAGGAATACATGGAACAATACTTCTTTCTTATGTACAAGATGTCATATGGATGGTTATTTGTAGATTATTCTTCCAGTTGGAAGCAGCTGAAGTGATTGATGGTCTTGGTAAGTTCACATTTTGATAACCTCAGATAGAGTCTGACCCTTGGTATCTTTTTCTTCTCGTTAGCTGATGCTTTGTAAAGACAGAGGAATCAAGGGGGGAATAAGCGCACATAGATTTGATACTGTGTTTGTTTTCCAGTAAGCTTCAGTTAAAAGGAAAAGAAGGGAACCCCCCATTTATCTGAATCTCTTTTCAAATAATATACACATTGGTCTTGGTGGCAATTGGCCAGCCCGTTTGTCGGAGTTAACCTTTTGCATTTCTTAGTTAGTACTGGGGATGTGGGGATTTCATACTTCTTGGCGTGTGGGAACTAGAGAGGTAACTCTAGTTACAGGTAACTCCACTGGTTCTCAGTCTCGTCTTCAGTTAGAAGTATCTGTGGAGCTTTGAAGTAACGCAGGGCCCAGGCGGAACCCCAGACCAGTGAACCAGCCTTCGTGCGGGGGTCCCCTCCTCCCCCCATTCCATTGGGAGTGCAGGTTGAAGCCAGGGCGCATTGCTGTTAGTAAAGTTTTATTGTCACAGCCACACCATTTATGGATTGCCCAGAGACCTCTCTGTGGCTACGAAACCCAAAATACTGACTGCTGTGTCACTTATTCAAGTTTGCTGGCCCCTGCCTAAACTCACAGTGAGCATTTTCCAAATATTTTGAAAAGGGGCTTTATACAAAATTCATAGTAAGCGGGGAAAATCCAGCATTTTGTGGAGCCTGTAGGCTTAAATCCTGCCCATTATCTGTACCTGGGGGAAATTGGAAAGCGTTTTCTTTGAAGAACTGACTTGAAGATCTTGTCCCATTGGAGGGAGATGTGACCAACTCAGCACCCAGAGGGGAGGTGCCATTCTTATGTCCGGACACTTTGTGCGTGAAGGTTGGTGTCTAACAAATGCTCGTTCCTTGCTGTGTCCAAGCGAGGGGAGGGTGTGGAGGTGGAACATTTCTCTCCGGCAGAGTGTTTGAGGGTGTGGTCACCACTGCAGCCTTGCTTGATGGTGGCAGACCCCTGGAGAAAACCTCTTCCTTCTGGGGAATCTCATGTATGAAAAGAAAACTAATAAAAAACATGAAGTGGCATCATTTCTGCCTTCCCTTAGTTCAGATGGAGACTTGTAAAAGCAGTTGTCAAAAGAGTCTTTTAGAAGGTCCTCTGGCCACGGGCCTCACAGCACTCGGTGTGAGAGGGGATTGGTTATTCTAGTCCCTTTTCACCAGAGTGAGGTTTCGAGCCAGCAGAACCAGCCTCTCCTGGGAGGCAGTCAGACTGCGGCCCCACCCAGACTTCCTGAATCAGAATCTGCTTTTTAGCAGGAGCCCAGGCTGTCTCATGAGCGTCGGGGAGCACGGGGAAGCACCTGACTGTAACGGGGTCAGTGCAGTGAGCAGTTGATGGTCACTTCCCTCGTAATGATTTCACGGCTCCTTGACGGCTCTCCTGACCCGGACCCGCTCACTGAGGGCAGCCCGCTCTCCCCTTTGGCTGTTTCCAAGTGTTGCTCACATGCTCTCATTCAGGAAAGATTTATATGATGGTAGATAATGAAAATTGGATGATTGAGCTGGAAGAGATACTGTTTTATATGCTTCAGAAAAACAAACTAGAAAAGATAAAAGGATCTTGCCAGATCAACCTCACTTCAAAGGTGATAAGTAGAATGGAGTCTTCTTTGCTTCTGCAAGAAGAAATAATCCACTCATCAAGCCCGCATTTGTGCTGGGGAGCAGTTGGGAGGGGCAAAAACAAATTGCTGGAGCCTCTCAAATTAGCATACAGAAATCAAGGTCTTAGGCCTTTCCACCAGGCAATGCCATTATATTTAAAGTACACTTTGGCCTGTATTACTTGAGGAATTGTCGAAAATTTGGATGTTCATAGAAGATCTTGAGGAAGCCCAGTACCTAATTTTATCCTGCCAGGCTTTGTCTAGTTAGTACTTTTTTTTTTTAATCAAGTAAATAGCTTTCAAGAAATTTGATTGAAAAACATGATTTCAGAATTATTTAATTATTGAACAGAATTGGTTTATTGTGAATATTTTTTTCTTTTGGAAAAAAAATTAATACCATCTAAATTTAGCATTTTTAAAACTATATAAATAACGTATACGTCCTTGCTGTCAAGATATGGCCATACATTTAACGTTTCGTGTCTGTACCAGGGAGTGTGCAGGACACAGAAGTGGCCAGGAAGAACCAGGAAAGTGGAGGTGGGGTGCCCTTCTGAGCCTGCAGGTCCCATCCCCATAGCTGAATGAGAGGCCAAGAAGCTGTGGGAATGTCTCCTTACATAAAGGCTGCCCCATGGCCCCATAAAAAAGGTCTGATGGCCAGCAAAAATGCATGAATGCCGAGTATCTGCTGCTCACTTCTGTCGGAAGGACAGCATGTGGTCCTTCTGCCTTCCCTCTGTCTTCCAAATCTCACTCCATGTCCTGTTTGCAGAATCCACATCACCTCCAGAGCCCAGGTGACAGGAGAGTCTGGAAACAGATGTCAGACTTCTGTTCCCTGTTACACAGAAAAGCACAGGAGGGGGTGGGAGTGGATTCTGAATGACAGTGTCCAGCATAGCATCCTGCCAATGACAACAGCTTACCTTCATGCTATTTTCAAGTTGTTTTAAAAAGTATTCTCGCCCTGGCCAGTTTGCTCACTGGTTAGAGCGTTGGCCTGCAGACCAGAGAGGCATGGGTTTGGTTCCTGCTAAGGGCATGTACCTCGGTTGCAGTTTGTCCCCGGCCCTGGTTGGGGTCATGTGGGTGATGACCACTCAGTGTGTCTCTCTCACATCGATGTTTCTCTCTTGCTCTCCCTCTCTCCCTCCCACTCTATCTGAAGATAAATGCAAAAATGTCCTTGGGTGAGTATAAAAAAAAAGGAGTCCTGTATTTGAAGCTACATCCATGGGGAGTTTATACTATTAACAGTGAAGTAGGAATAAAATCCCCAGGAAGATAGTCTGTTTCTATATGAACACTGTAAGGAAACTAAGGTAAGATGCCGGTTTTACATGTGAAGTACTGTGAGGAGGTTAAATGACTGGCTCCTGGTCAAACAAGCTAGTCAGTGTCACATAGGGCCACACTCTCCTATTTTTCCTGCCCTGTTCTCTTTATTTATTTTTTAATTTTTTTTTATCCTTACCTGAGGACATTTTTGCATTTATCTTCAGATAGATCAGGAGGGAGAGAGAGAGAAAAAGAGAAAGAGAAACATCAATGTGAGAGAGACATATCGATTGGCCACCACCCACATGACCCCAGCTGGGGCCAGGGACAAACTGCAACTGAGGTACGTGCCCTTAGCGGGAACCGAACCCGGGACTCTGGTTCACGGGCTGATGCTCTAACTGCTGAGCCAAACTGACCAGGGCCTGTTCTCTTTAGTACTTATTAATTGGGTATCATATGCCGAGATGGAATATTAGGGGTGCTTTCACCGGACCCCAAGATTGAAAAAGCACTTCAGAATGCACAGTTCTAGTATTTTCAGGTCAGTGTACCAGTGGAGGGCATATTTATACTTCCAACTTAATAGGTTATGCCCTTAATTTAAAGAACTAGGCAGTTTTTGAAATGATTGTGAAATGCAACTTTGGTCTCAGCACATTCCTTCTTTTTTCTTAAGCAGATGAAAACCTCGGAGAACCGCCACCCTGTGAGTTCCCAGTACAGGATGCATTCTTACTACCCGCCTCCTTCCTACCTGGGCCAGAGCATGTCCCAGATCTTCACCTTTGAGGATGGCCCTGCCTACTCCGAAGCCAAAGCGAGCGGTAGGTGTCCGGTTACACAGACCGGATGTGAGGGGAAGAGAGGACAAGTGTCCAGCACGGGGTCTCTGGCTCTCTAAGGAATTACCAGTTAGGAGCTGTTGGAAAGTTTTTTTGCTGTGTGACTCTTAGAATAAGTATCCTTTAAGGTATTTTGTTGCGGAATGATTTTGCTTTGCTAGATTCTTGATATTATATTTCTCTTTTCTGTGTACCCAGAGTGACAAAAATAAGACGAAAGACTCCTCAGAAGCTAAAAATGTGTTTTCTGAGGGATCACTATGAAATACAGGGCACTTTAAATGTGGTTCTAGTCCTGATATTTTTGGTGAAGTGAATTTCCATATATTGAATATTCGTTTCCCAGAACTTTTCTATTTTAAAATTGAAGGTGTATTTATATTTTGGGGGAAAGAAATAAAAATAACATAATAAAACATTTTTGAATAAATAGATCTCAGAGTTTATGCAGTAGCAATGCAAATAACTCTGATAAAATGGCTTTAAAGTGAAAAATGACTGCTTAATGAACCAAAGCACTTTGAAATACACAATTGCTCAACTTCAGTTTTAACCTTCTCCCCAGCGTTTACACTGTGGTGACAGACAGGGCTTTTACAGCTGCTGTGTTCCCAGGACCCGTTTCTGAGTTCTGTATATGTACGCATCATCTTTTGATCTGGGAAAGTGAGAAGCATGCAGTGTCGAGGCGGTGAGCAGAAATCAGGGCGACAGTGAATGCCTTGGTGGTGGGCTTACTGCTGGAACTTACCTTGTACTAAAAAATGAAGCTTGTTTTTTTAATAACTTGACTCTGTAGAGAACTGGTTTCTTTGGAAAGCGAGTGCTTAGATACTGAGAATCAGAGCCACACTTTGATTTCCAAATTTCAAACAATGAAGTCTAGGAAAGTTGGGCAAGTTATACTTTATTTATTATACTAAAATAAAGAATTCTACTCACGTGGAATGTATAGGTCAGGGGACTGATCAGAGTGAACTGTGGAGACACTGAAGTACACGTTGTTGATTGTACTTTTATTAATAGTCATATTTTGTCAGAGTGGACAAACACAACTCTGTATTATAAATATTATATATGCCCATGTGGTCTTCCTTTTATTTTTCCTTTGATTATATATATTTATGTGGATTGTAAGCTCCTTACGTATAGAGAACACATCTCATACACCTTTTTATCTGTATGATGCCTTTTATTTGTTAATTGTTGGTTAAGTGATGAATGAATGAACAAATGAATCTGGTATTACTTTTAAGGACACTTGTTCTTTAAGGAAACAGAATCCTGAAAGGCCAGAATCCTAATAGTCTGATGGAGACAGTGGACAACTTAGGGATGCAGTCCTTAAAGAAACGTTTATTCACGGAGAAAGTTAGCAGCGAGGCCTGCTTTCAGGGAGAAATGCCTGAGCTTCCTTCTCCGGAAATAATGGAATGACTAGAAGCAGTGGCATTCTTGAGACAAAGGTGTAAATTCAGAGGAAGGCAGTAAGACGAAAGAGGAAATTTATTAGAGCAGAGAAGAATGAATTTGGAGAGGAGCAGTAGGCATTTGAATTTATGGCAGAAAGGAAGAGATTCAGTAGGAAAGGTTACAGTCCAGGAAAGAAAAGACTGGCTGCCCACCAGGCCAGGGCAAGTCTCAGCTAAGTTTTAAAAGAAATGTGACATTATGACTTCTATGTATGGTATTGTGGACTCTATGCGAGATTTTTATAGAGCTGGTGGGAGGGGAAGAGGAGAGAGAAGGTTGTATTTGGGCATCCACAATGACCCAGGTGCCATCTCTTGGGGCATTGGATCCTTCGTTTTATCATCAGCATGGACACAAGTGGAGAGCTTTTTGGGGGCAAATTAGGCCCTTAATGGGGCTGAGGCTAGTGGGGCTGAGGCTAGTGGCAGGGTGCCATGAGTGGGGGGTGGGGACATCAGTATATTTATTTGTGAGAAGGTGACAAAGGCTGGCTGATAATCAGTTACATTTATCAATTCTATCAAGTTTGAGTTGAGGTCCTTTGGTTGGTTGCATTAATAAATTAACAATTAGTAAATAGTTTATTAATTATTCTAAGTGGGGGAATGTCTAAGTAATTTGAAAAATAGTATTTTCAGTAGGTTTAATGTTTTCTTTAAAGTCTTTAAGTATAAATTTGTCCATTAAGTCCATTTTTCTTCAGTTTTTTTCCCGCCAAATGTTTTATTGATTTTTAGAGAGTTAAGGAAAGGGAGAGAGAGAAACATCCATCAGCTGCCTCCTGCATGCTCCCTAGTGGGGATTGAGCTGAAACCCTGGCATGTGCCCTGATCAGGAATTGAACCAGTGACCTTTTGGTGCACGGGATGATGCTCAATCCACTGAGCCACACTGGCCTGGCTTTTTCAGTTTTTTAAAAGGCAACTGTAACCTCTCTTGACCATTTAAGGAATCTAGTCCAAATTTCTCTCTGGTTTTGCTAATGATTGCTACATGAAAATAGAATGTAAGGAGGAAAAGAATTACAGGAAGAGTTGTCCTTTTGCCAAGTTGCTACTATTCAGTGCTTTTCTTGTGAAAAGGCTGGGAGCCATTCTCCGCCTCACACCTGAGAAGTGTTAGGAGGTAGATCAGAGAGGTGGCAGGCCCGGTCAGGCAGACTTGGGAAACCATTGCAAGCACGGCTTTGATTTCAGGTGATCTGGGAGGCCACCGGAGAGTTTCCAGCAAAGGGGTGACACGTCTGCCTTGTGGTTTTAAACATCACTCTGGCTGCTGTTTAAAAATAGGCTGTAGGGATATGATGTGGAAGCAGGGAGACCAGTCAAAGGCTACAGCAGTAATTGTTGCAAAAGACAGTGGCTTAGTCAGGGTGGGAATGTGGTATGATGACAAGTGGTTGAATTCTAGATGTATTTTGAAGATAGAACCAACAAGATTTGCTGATGGATTTGGGATGGGCCATAAAGACCAGAGTGAAGGATGACTCCATAATTTTTAACCTGACCAAGTAGAAAACAGGAGTTTCCATTTACTGAGGTAAAGAAGACCATGAGAAAAATAGGTCTTTGGGAATCAGGAATTTAATTTTGCATATTTAGTTTGAGATGTTCGTGAGTCGTCCAAGCAGATCGTCGTAGGAACTGGATGTATGAAGACTGAAGCTGAGGGGAGGTGTCACTGCTGTGCACAGATGTCATTTGAAGTCAATATCAGGAGACCCCCTGGGGAAGTGCGTACAGGTGGAGAAGTAGAAGGGACCAGGGATTGAGCCCAGTGTGCCCTCCAGTGTTTAGAGCTCTAGCAGATGAGCAGGGACCTGGAAAGGAGAGGATCGTGGAGCAGCCTAGGAGGCAGGAGGAAAACTAAGGGTGAGCGGTGTCTTGGAAGCCAGCTAAAGAAAGCATTTCCATGAAAGACATCGAATACTACTGATAAGTCAAATGACATAAGGACTAGAATTGACCCTTGGCTGCTGCAAGGTAGAGATGGTTGATGCCTGGACGAGTGGCCGCTTTGACGGGAAGAGAACAGAGCCTGACTGCACATCAGGAGCGCAAGGGAGAGAAGCGGGGGCAGGGAGTACGCGTTCTTCAGGGTGTTTTGCTGTGAGGGGGGCAGTGAAATGAAACACTAACCGGAGGAGGGTTCTTTTCCATTTTTTTTTTAAGAAGGGAAATACTGTGATAGGCTGTATGCTGATGGGAGCAATCCAACAGAAGGAAAATGAGCTGGTGCAAGGTGTGCATGGGGACAATGGTGGCGTCCCTGAGGAAGTGAGAGGGGCTGGGATCTGAGGCAGTGGTCCCCAGAGGGGGCCACAGGCTGGCGTGGGTCTGTGGGCTTTGTTCCTGGTGTAAGAGAATGTCAGTAAAGGAAATAAGGTTAAACAAATACTTGAGCAACTTTATGTCTGTTGAATCTGATAAAGAAAAATGGGGCTCGTATTTTACTTTTATTTTTCTAGTAATTTTTAATTTTTTAAAAAAATTTAATTTATTTATATTTTTATCCTCACCTGAGGACATTTTTCGATATTTTGTTCAGATAGAGTGGGAGGGAGAGAGAGAGAAACATCGATGTGAAAGGGACACATCAAGTGGTTGCCACCCACACGACCCAACCAGGGCCGGGGACAAACTGTAACCGAGGTACGTGCCCAGCGGGAACCGAACCCGGGTCTCTCTGGACCGCAGGCAGATGCTCTAACTGCTGAGCCAAATTGGCCAGGGCTCTAGTAATTTTTTATTAAAATAAGATGCACCTAACATAAAATTAACTAGTAATAATTTTTAAAGTGTAAAAATCAGTAGCATTTAGAACATTCACAATGTTGGGCAACCATGACCTCTGTCTAATTTCAAGGCATTTTGTTCATCCCAGAGGGAAACCCCCTGTCCAATAAGTACTCACTCCCATTCTCCCTTCCCCCAGGCTCTGGTAACCACTAACTCACTTTCTTTTGTCTATTCTGGATGTTTTATGTACACGGAATAATATAATGTGTGCCCTTTGGTGACTGGCTTTTTTCACTGAGCATCTTATTTTCCAAGGTTCACATAAGTTGTAACATGTATCAGTATTTCATTCTTTTTATGGCTGAATAATATTCCATTGTATAGAACACATTAGTTTATCTGTTCATCAGTTGATGGACATTTGTGTTGTTCACCTTTTGGCTATTGTGAGTAGCACTGCTATGAATAATCATGTGTAATTCTTTGTTTGAATATCAGTGTTTAGTTCTTCTAGGTACATACTAATAGTGCAGTTGCTGGGTCATGTGTAATTCTGTGCCTAACTTTTTGTGGACATGACCAGTTGTTTTCCATAGTGACTGCACCGTTTTACATTCCCACCACAGTAGTAGGGTGGTTCCAATTTCTCTTGCCAGCCCTTGTTATTTTCCATTTTAAAAATTATGATTATGATTATCTATTTTTATTGTATTTTATATAAGTACCAAACCATGGTAGGTTGGAAACTGGAAAAAAATTAAAATAAAGTCA